TACGCCAGTCCCAGGTTAGGTTTACAGAATGTACCTCGACTTGGTCTATGGCAGAATGTAGAAGGGTGACCACGTTTTCCTTGTTGATATTTTTGGTTGCGGCTGCTAGCTTGGCGAGGCCATCTGCTTCGATATTTTGCGCCCCGGGTATTTGGTCGAGGCAGCATTCATCGAATTCTGGCAGCAGTTTGTGAATTTCTGACTGGTACTTTTGTAGTCTTTGTTCTTTGATTTGGAAAGTCCTGGTGACTTGGTTCACTACGAGTTGAGAGTCGCAATGGAGGACGAGTCGTCGAGCACCATATTTGAGGGCTAATTTCAATCCTGCAATCACAGCTTCATACTCGGCCTCGTTGTTAGTGATCTCGGGGCATCATATGGACTGGCGAATTACTTCGCCCGTAGGAACCTCGAGGACGAGTCCCAGTCCCGATCCTGATGCATTAGATGCACCGTCGATGTAGAGGACCCAGAGGTCGGAATGTGCGGAAGCGCAGAGCGCCTCCTGCTCTACTTCAGGTAGTATTTTCGCGCTGAAATCAGCGACGAAATCGGCGAGTACCTGCGACTTAATGGCACTTCGCGGTTGGTATGTTATGTCGTGCTCGCTTAATTCTATGGCCCATTTGGCCAGTTTTCCCGATAATTCGGGTTTGTGTAGGATGCCCCTGAGGGGGAAGGTTGTTACCACTTTTATGGGATGACATTGAAATTATGGTCTAAGCTTTCGTGAAGCTATGACTAGTGCCAAAGCTAGTTTCTCAAGGTGTGGGTACCTTGTTTCGGCATCAATTAAGGTTTTGCTGATATAGTAAATCGGAGATTGCGGAAAAGTACCTTTGTTTTCGCGGATCAAGATTGCACTTACCGCGACTTCGGAGACTGCCAGGTATACTAGTAGGCATTCACCCGGGTCTGCCTTGACGAGTAGTGGTGGCGAGGATAGGTATGCTTTCAGATTTCTCAGGGCGTCGACGCATTCTGCATTCCACTGCAATCCATGGTCTTTTCTCAGCACATTGAAGAATTTATGGCATCTGTTTGATGATCGTGAAATGACCTCGACAGGGAGGCTATTCGTCCTGTTAATTTCTGCACCTGCTTCTTGTTGGTCAACGTCTCCGGTATTCCTTCGATGGCTCTGATCTGATGCGGGTTGACCTCGATACCCCTTTGCGACACCAGAAAACCAAGGAATTTTCCCGAAGTTACGCCGAAGGCGCATTTTTCGGGATTCAATTTCATCCCATATTGCCTCAGAATCTCGAAGGCTTCCTTCAGATACCAATGTGATCCTCTTTCTTTTTTGATTTTGCTAGCATGTCATCGATGTAGACTTCCATGGTCTTACCGAGTTGTTCTTTGAACATTTTGGTGACTAATCTTTGATACGTTGCCCCTGCATTCTTGAGTCCGAACGACATTACTTTGTAGCAGTACGTTCCTCGGTGAGTGATGAAAGTGGTCTTTTCTTGGTCTTCTTCGGCCATTAGAATTTGGTTGTAACCAGAGTAGGCATCCAAGAAGCTTAGTAGTTCGTGTCCCGCCGTCGTATCGATGAGCTGGTCGATTTGTGGTAGTGGGAACGAATCTTTCGGGCATGCTTTGTTTAGGTCGGTGAAGTCGACACACATCCGCCATTTCCCGTTCTTCTTTTTGACCATGACCACATTGGCGACCCATTGGGGATATTTCGACTCTCGGATGGAACCATTAGCGAGTAATTTATCAACCTCTTCGCTAACCGCCTCATTGATGGCGGCATTAAACTTTCTCCTCATTTGTCGCACCGGTGGGTACAGAGGATCGACATTCAGCTTGTGGCGATATCCCTTGGGATTCCTGGCATATCTGAATGGGAAAAGGCAAACAAATAGGCATTGTTAGTTAAGAACTCATGATATTTACCTAATTCTGAGAGGTTGTGACCGATGTAGGCCTTTTTCGTGCCGTCGGTGTTGTCCAGTTGGACGGGGTCGAGGTCTTCTACGGTAGCCTTGCAGGCTTCTACGACATCCGGGTCTTTGATGGCCTCTATTTGTACGTCGGGTTTGGTTCCCGACATGGCTGATTGCTATGCTTCCGCACTTGCCCCTTGAAGTTGTTTGGTGTGTGTGCAATCCTGGGCGATGCGGTAGCATTCCTGGGCGGTGCGTTGTTCGCCTCGGATGCTAAATATCCCCCGTGGGGTAGGAAATTTGATTACTTGATAGAAACTAGATGGGACGACTCGCATGGCATGTATCCACAGACGCCCTATGATAGCGTTGTAGGCTGTTTCTTGGTTCATGACGTGAAACGTCGTTTCTAGGGTGACTCCTCCTGCCAGAACGGGCAACATTATTTCTCCCGAGGTTCGTTCCACTGCATTGTTAAAACCCGTTAGTGTTATGCAACTAGGTATTATCTTATCCTCGAGTCTCATCTGTGAGACGACTCTGGGATGTACAATACACGCGCCGCTCCCGTCGTCAACCATTATTCTTTTCACATCAGTATCAGCAATACGTAAGGTTATAACTAAAGCATCATAGTAAGGGAAAGACAAACCGTTGGCATCCGACTTATCGAAGATGGTACTATCTTGTAAGTCGTCATACCCTTCATTGGCGACTGTCCGCTTGAGTTTATGTGTGGTGGTGAATTTCACATGGTTGATTGCTGCATCGTCGCCGCCTCCGATGATCATTTGTGTGATACGGGCTGGCGAGGTGGCTTCGGTGGTCCCTGAGGTTGATCGCGTCCTCGAGCGAAGTTGGTTCGTCCTCGGTCGCTCAGCAGTTCTTTCAGGTGCCCCTGGTTTAACATTCTTACTACTTCTTGCCGCAGACCTATGCAGTCTTCGGTTTTGTGTCCCCTTTCCTGGTGGAATTCACACAGAACGTTCGATCTCCGGGTGCTCAGGTCCGACTTCATCTTTTGCAGCCACTGCACTTTTGTGCCGAGCTTTTCCAGTGCATATACTATTTCTGAAGGAGAAACACAAAAGTGATGAGCGGAAAGCAATGGAGGCATACCTCTTTCGTTTCGGTGAGGCCCGGTATGTCGGGGCATGACATCTGCTTGTCGTGGTGGTGGTGGGATGGACGCCCGGATGTAAGGCTGATGCCTTTCTCGATTGAAACGGGATAGTCGATCCCTCCGCCTGTCGTTCGGCGCTCCCTCCTTGCTTCGGTCTGGACCGATGTTAACCGTTGGAGCGGTCCACTCAGGTCTTCCTCATCCGCTCTTACTTCGGCACAATAGGCGTTATGGATTTCTTCCCATGTAGTGGGAGGGTATATCATGAGCCTGCTCAACAATTTTTTGGTTGCTTTCGACCCGCTTCTGTTTAACCCATTCTAGAAGGCTGCCACCGCCATTCCCTACGTTGGGTTAGGCTCATTCTTACCCTGTTAAATCTGGCTAGGAAGTCTCGAAGTCCCTCGCCCATCGTTTGTTTGACGGCGAAGATGTCATTTACTCTGGCTTCCGCCTTTTTCGCTCCCTCGTGGGCGGTTACGAACTTATCTGCCATTTCTTCGAATGTCGATATTGACCTTGCTGGTAATTGGGAGTACCATGTCAGCGCTCCCCCTGTCAGAGTTTCGCCGAATTTTTTCAACAGTACCGAGGGAACTTGTTCTTTCGACAAATCGTTGCCTTTTACCGCGGTGACATAGTGAATCAGATGATCCTCCGGATCCGTGGTGCCATCGTATATTTTCAAATATGGCGGCATTTTGAATGTTTTCGGGATAGTGTGGGGGACTGCTCCTTCACTATACGGCTGGTCGACGAATCAGCCTGCATCGCGTTTTGGTAGCAACTTCGGAGCGCCCGGTATTTTATCGACTCTTTCCTGATGTTCTTTCATCTGATCACGGAGTGTTTTGTTCTCGTTCTCCATATCTTCCATTTTCTTTAGAATGGCCGCGATTGCATCATTATCTACATCAACGACAATATGAGTGTTACCTACGATTGGAGTTTCCGGCTCATCGGCGATAGCTGCGGTTTCTGCGTGTATTGGGCCTCCGATATTCCTTTGAGTGGGTTTGTCCAGTATGCTGCTCAAGGTGTTTGTCAGCCATTCCTCTAATAGTCTCTTCACAGCTGGTGGTGCTTCTCCTGCTGCGGACGTTGAGGTTTCCTTCTCGCGTGAGATAATCACGCTTTCATGAGGGGTGGACACGATATTTCCCTCGAGTGTAACACTTGGCGTTACGCTTTCATCGTTTTCCCTGCCGGCTTCGCTGATGGAGCCTAGCAGGTTGTTCGTGACGTCTACTATCGCCTTCGATCTTGTCTCTCCCTTTCCTGCCATTGCTGAACTTTGCGAGGTTGAGAATAGGTGTTTACTTCTTTCGGTGATCTAGGCGAAACTAAAATCTTGGCTATAGAAATCCCCACAGACGGTGCCAAATTGTTTGGATCAAAAGATGTCACAACCTTTTTGAACAAATCAATCAATGAAAAATGAAAGGGTAAATCTTAGCAAAGAATAATAATCACTTAGAACGAAAGAAGATAGGCAATGAACACACAAAAATTGTTTAATCTCATGAAGATCTGTGATTGAATGTTAGAAAATACTTATCGGAAAGTATTACAATTGTTGATATATCTTAGAGATGTTACCGAGAGAGAGAAAAGAAAAAGAAGATCCCTTTTACAAAGTTATTCCCCCCATTATATAAAAGGGACAAACCCCTTCTGGGTCCTACAAAACATATTCCTGGGCCCCCTCCAAGAAACCTCCTTAGCACCTCGTACCCCTTCTGGGTCCTACAAAACATATTCCTGGGCCCCCTCCAAGAAACCTCCTTAGCACCTCGTATCGGAGTCATGTTAAGCTGTGAGGACCTCGCCATTGGTCGTGCTCGTTTGTGGTCGTGGTTATCCAAATTTGGACCCGTACAAGAATAAGGTTTCAATTGCAGCGAGGAAGAGAAGATTATAAATGATAGTGTAGTGATGCACCATTTTACAGACAACTGTACCAACATTGATATGGTAGATGTGAAAGTAAGACCAACGTGCTGTATAAAGTGATAAACCATTCATCAAATCAAAACAAGATTACATAAAGTGCTTTGAAACTGCTTTTTGTTGCATCAAGGAACGATATGAACTCGTAAGTCCCAAACAAAGTTATATTGAACACTAGTTTCATTTTTACTGAGGTAGTAGGGTCACACACTTAGCTGGATGGATATTCACAATGACTTTACATTAGTTTTTCTGGTTTATTAGTTATTGCCCTAATCTCCGGCTGGTTTCATCCACGACCGGAGCCTTTTGAGAGCAATGATCACGGCGTCTCATCGAATAACATTACCTACAAAACAAAGAGGTCATTTAATTAGAAAGAATATTCATATACTACAATGTATTATATACATATGATTGTAATGAAATTTACTTAACGACGCTTTGAAACATCTAAATCTACATTGATTAATAAGCGATGTTTTTAGAGAGATAGACCAAACATCTCATGCTCTTAAATATTCAGCTCCTCACCATAATTATCTTTCCATTAATTTCTTAGAGGTCTTCTGATGTTTAAGCAAACAATAGAAAAGTAGAAGGGAAATATCATTTCCACCCGTAAAAGTTTACTGTATGATAAAAGATGATACGGATTCTTGAGTCGATTTTACTATCTATGAACTTCCAAATTACTCTTATTTCCATTTTGATTCTCACTCTTCCCTGTTGTATTTTCTGATTTTTTTTTTTTTTGTCTATCAAGGGCAAGGAAGAGTTACAGTGATTCGTCACTTATCAACCCGTCCACTTGGAGAAATGCTTTTAAATTTTGCATACAAAAGGTGCAGAATTGAAAGACAGCGTCATTTATACTATGCTTCAGCCAAATTGCAAGGCAGCCGGCTAACTACCAAATAAGAGCTTTAATCATTTCCAGACCATTTAAATGTGAGGTTACTATAACTACATTGACAAGGCAATAATACAAATTATGAATTTCAGATATTCATATCTCTAGACAACTGATCGCAAGAGGTGATAGCAAAGCTGATTTTGTAAAGTTCGACCACACATTTGGACCATTTAAAGCCAATTCAAGCATCAAACTAATACTTCAATGGTATGTTTTTGAACCACACCAAACGCGGGTTTTGTTTCTTAAAAATGAAATTTTACTCACTATGGGAGAGCAAGCACAGGGGATACGATATTCATCACGGTCAGACGTAACACTTATGACTCAATTCTCCAAAAGCCAAAGTATAATCATTTATTTTTTTGTTTTTTAAAGTATAATCATTTATATAAGTTCATCTTTTCCTTTTGGCACTTGCTTGGTGGCCGAGTTAAATTTAATGATGACTAACCCTCCAAATGATAACCAATATAACACCTTCTAATGGCATTATACCAGGATTATCTTCTATAAGATTAAACATTAAAACGTATGTTACAACTTCTGGTTCCTCATTCTCCTAAAGGAAACAGCCACAATCACATAAATGAAGAAAAACACAAGAATTTGGGTTATCACAAACTAGAGCCATGGACCACAAACTGTTCAGCCTTCAGCTCAAAGGGAAGTGACAAAATTTCCTATCTTCCCAATGAATGACTGACCGGCATGATTCTAGCAGCCTTCCACTATTTTGTTTGCCAACGGGGAAGCACTCATGGGACGGATAGCAAAGCACATATTGAACGAACACCCAAGAAAAAATTACAGGGAGAAAAAGCAGGAGAGTAGCAATAGCAGAGAATATTGGGAAGTCTTGGCAAGTTTATGGTATAACGGTAAAGCATGGCGTATGCGCCCCCTCCTCCCCAAGTTATCCATGTCCTAGTTCGTACTCTACCATAAGGAAAATGAAGCCCACTAATTTAATTACTTCCTTTAGCTGAGCAACTTAAAATGTTAATGTATACATTACTGTAATTTTGTCAAATTTATAAATGCGACTGTTGACAGGTTTTCGGCAGCTTGTGAAAGCACAGTAAATCGTCAACCACATCAGTTGATACTGCTACAGAAAATAACACATGAATAGTTCCCCACAGAAGGCTTTGGTAATTGCTTCCAGTACAGTAGCATATAAAGGGCAAGCTCAACATCAACACAAAGTCAAACAAAAACATCTATTTGGTAGCTATATAATGCAAAGGATATCATAGTTACCTTGCCACATACTGGACAGTTGTCACTTCTCTCCATCCACTCATATATGCAACCCAAGTGGAAATGGTGAGAGCATTTTGTCATTATTTTTGGGTTTTCTTCTGTATATTCTGAGACAGAGAGTATCATCAAGAACATGAAATTAATAGTCAAGATATTCCTGAATTTTGGTAAACAGTTAACTAGACTATTAAATGGAAACCAAACTGTTTAAGAAGACCCAAATTATAGGAGCGACTACTGTACTATTTTTCCTATTGCCCGCTAGAAAGAATACTGTCTACCTACGATACTAGAGGGGAGAGGGCGAGATATGGAAATGTTTTACAGTTATTTTAGCAGATGGAGTGCATAGATTATCGTAATGAAGTGCAATATGATGGATCAGAAAACACCTGAAGCATAGATTACTCTGTAATGAAGTGCAATAAGATGGAGTGCATAGATTACTCTGTAATGAAGTGCAATAAGATGGATCAGAAAACACCTGAAGCATGATCTACCTTCGAGACATGTCGGGCAGACATCTTCATCTTCTGAAGAATAACAAATTTGAGTAAATTCAGTAGTTGTTTTAGCTGTTGAGATTTTCAATGATTTGGAATTGTATTCTTTTGATCCTTCTTCACATGCAGACTCCTTCCATTTATTACCCGTACTCAGAGATTCAGAATCATCATCAATATCACTTCTTCGTAGTGGTTCAGTTTCCTCAAGCGAGTGACTTGATCCTTTCTCCCTTCTTGAGACTAGTCCATCTCGTTGCAAGCGGAAGTATCTGGGATCGGCATCGTAAGGAAGTGGTCTCGGAGGAGAGCGGTATATATCAGATAGTGAGTTATCAAGGGATGCTGTAGAACTCAAAGATGCTGTACCTTGAGTTGATGAAAGAATGGCATGTTGTTCTCCTCTGTGAAACAATGATGTATACTGCACAAGAAAAGATGGAGTGCTCTAAATTCTATGGCAAATGAAGGAGAGTGATTATTATTGCTGTAAGATAATGGGTTTACATATTTAAGTCTAGATAATAAATACTGAAATGATTTTGCAGTATGTAATTCTTCATGTTCCATTCATGAACTTTTGATGAACAGTCAAAGAGAATCATAAAGTTGTCTCATTGCTAGTGAAGTCTTTGCAAAGCCATGAAGGAGTCTTATGGACAAGGCTTTCCGAATTTATGCAATTTCTTCCTAACAGTAGGAGTTGGCTACCGTCTTCTTGAGCTTTTGCAAACAAACTGCCACCAAGCTAATTAACTGTTGCTAATAATTCAGTGCAGTTCTATTTCACACGAAGTCAAAGAAAATGATCCTAAGTCTCTCTGCTCGAGCCACCTTATCAGTTCACATATCAAAATGCTGCTAAAAATATGACAATACAACGATGACACGTTCGATTTGAACCACTCTTCATTAGATCAGTAGACACAGAGGTTGACTATCCAAAGAAAGTTAACAGTGAGATCAGTTATGATTTGGATGTACTGAAAGGTTAATTGCAGCGGGATGAAATACTGGTAAGCAGAGAAAAGAAGAAGATTGTACAACATAGTGGAAAAAGCATACCACGTGGAAGAAGTTTTGAACAAATGATCGAAGGCATAAACAGTTCCTATACATAGAGCTGTTTGGATTGGCAAAATCTTCGCATTCATCTCGCAAGCAGCAACAAACTGCACCCATGATGCTGTCTTCTATCAATGTCAATTACTCAAATACCTTCCACATGTATCATTGGAAATCCTCCAACTCTCATGATTGAGGCAATAGGAACTTGGGAATAAGCGAAGGAAATTGATAGAGGACCTTCAGCAGGCAGATGAAGAAGAAATGCAATTGGACACCCTCTCTCTTCAGGAAATCCTGAACGAGTTGATGCCCTTCTTGACCAAGATCTTAAGAAGAAATTTTAAAAGAAATATCGCTGCTTGTCACCTGTAAAAGTAAAGAACAACTATGATATAAGGACTGATATTAAATAGATGGATGGTCTACGTCGAATGAAACATAATTTTTGCAAAATTGCAGTTTCGGAAGAATGAGAAAGGATGACTTGTATAGGTCCCAGTATATGAAATAAAAGGGCTTTCAGATTAAATTCGACATATGAGAGTGCGAAACGGAGAAGTCAGAAGAGAAAAAACAAAATGCATCTTTGGGATAATCAAGCTACCTAGCACCCAACCAATCGCAAAAAACTTACTTTGAAAGCACCAGATCCTATGGGGTACTAAAGAAATGGACACTACAATTTTCAGGGAATTACAGAAAAGGATTGTCTTTATCCTTAATCCTAAACTCTACTTGTGAAAACTTTGAATCATACTTAAGCTCAAACTGCCAGCTGCAGTAGATTGAGTCAACGTAAAGCTAGTTAATTTAAGTTGTATCTCACAATATTGACTACATTGCCAGAATGAGCAAAATTGAATACAGAAATTTCATATTACCAACGCCAACTAGTTTGTGATTGATATCCTAATTAAAATCAAGTGATATTTCATAAAACAGCACTAAAAGTACAGCTAAACACACACACAAAAAAAAAAGGAAAATAGTTGTAATCATCCTAGTTTCTTTAATGAGAAGCAAAGCAATCGTTCATACAACAGTTTTAAACACACGGCAAAAGGGAAAAAAACAAAAAGAAAAAAGGGAGAGAAAAAAATTAAAAACAAGAATGATCAGCTAAAGAACCTCAGTGATCAAGCAATTAATAATTCTGCAATTCACATAAACAAATACACGAAATTCCATTTTCAAGCCCCCACCAAAAAAGGAACTTTATTGCAAAAATTTCTGCATCAACCGATTCAGATGATACCCATTTCAGGTCATTAGATTTACAACTGATTGAAAGCTCCCATCAGTGGGAGATAAAAGAGTGTAAAATAATAAAAAAAAAAAATCAAGAAAAATACCTCAAACTTGCGAAGATTGCGGGATGTAATAGAGAGAGATAAAAGTAGATGGATGATTCTATTCTTTGGAAGACATAAGCCTAGAATTCAGAGGTCAGAGGTTTTTGATTGTTTCTATGTAGACAGTGCGCAATAACATTCTTGGTTTTTTCGCCAAATTAAAGTTACCCCATAACCAAAGGCAAAAAAAATAATAAAATAAAGCATGTAGTTCCATTGGGTGGGTGAGATGTAAATAGTAGTAATGGAATATTAATTGTGTCACTGTAATAGAATATTAACAAAACACCAATCTAGACTATACTGTAATAAAGAAACAAAAGAGTAATCCTGATTTAGTACCATAATTTTTTGTTTTTTATTTTGTGATATGACTTAGTGGGCGTTTGGACATAAGAAATTTAAAATTTCGAAAAAAAGTGAAAAAAAAATTAAGTTATGGTATTTGAAACTTAGAGTTGTGTTTGGACATGTATATAATTTTGGGTTGTTTTTTAATTGATGTGAGTGATTTGAACTGAAAATTTTGAAAAATAATTTCTAAAATTTTCGAAAAATTCCAAAATTCATGTTCAAGTGCAAATTGAAAAGTTTAAGGCCAAACGTTGATTTCGGAAAAGTAAAAGAATAATAGAAAAGAGTAAAAAAATAAAATAAAAAACGGACCCTAATTATTTGTTTAATCGACCGCTGATTTTTAAAGAGGATAAAGTTGGTTTAAGAATGAAATTAAACTACTCTTAGCAGTACTTTGTTGTAACTAACGACATTTAAAAGTAAACATGAGGTCATTATCGTTGAACTTTTACTGCAATTGCCGACACTTTATGCAGTTGTATTTTATTATTCTATTTGTTTATTGATGGTGTGGGATAGTGATTTAATTAATTCCATGAATTGATTTACCTGTCAGAAACTTTCATTTTAGCACCAAATATATATAGTGAAGAAATATCAGAAACTAAAAACCTTTTTTAATTTGTTTTTTAATGCATACTAAAATTTACCACACTTTATCATTTTAGAAATTTGTAGTTATTTAACTCAATCGGATTTTTATATGTTGAGGAAAGAAACGGAGTAGGCCTTCTCTCCAACATGTCTACAGGAAGCAAAATTGTATTGCAGATAGTCTAGCTAATTGGAGCCAAGCAGGCAGATAGCACTAGTTGCGTCTATTTGTAACCCCACCACTTTTTGTCAGGACTCTCTACCAGAAAGATCTAGCGGGAACAATACACCGGAGGCTCGTTAACAAGAACAACCAAATTTTCAACAGCTCTATTCCACAAACGACCTCTGCTTTATCTTCCTTTTGTAATATTGATGTTTTGTTTAGTAATGCACTCCATGCAAGGGCGCTTGTAATAACTTCTAATAGTACTAGTCTAGATACTAACATGCCTGCGAGGCATTTTGCTCCCTGTACTGATGTAATGATTTAATCATTTTTTAATATATAAATCTTTCTTTCTGACCAAAAAAAAAAAAGGAAAGAAACGTTATTTTCCCTTCTCACATTTCCAGAATTTGTTGGTTAATTCCAAAAAAGGAAAAATGAACAAAACACAGAAGAAAAGGGAAAGTTGGTAATTCATCCCTATCATTCTTTCTTTATTTTAGGGTCCTAGTATTAGACAAAGTTTGGTTGGAGTGCTTCGTATCACGAATTAAAACTGTCTTTTAAGCTCTTAATCTGTTCCCAATTTGCTCTTTTCACCTCGAACTTAGTTTTATCTTCTTTTCTTTCAATTTTTTTGTAATTATGTAAATATTGTATAGGGTAAAATATGTATTGCTATGTGGCCGCTCAAAAGAGGGACACGTGGAACCTAAGACGGGGGATAACCAGAACCGAAGGCAACTGTCTCGCCTGTCACCGGAAAGGATAACGCTCATAAGGATGCAATAAATACTCTTCTCCCGTTATCATTCAATGGAGAATATTCCACAGCATTAAATACGTTGTCCGTTACAAGGAATTTGTCATTTATGTTCACCGTTACATTTTCATCAATGACCCTGATAATTGACATTAAAGGGCACGATACTAGGACCTCTTCCCTTAGACCTAGCTATTAATAATGAGCTCTGTTATCATTGTAAGAAAAATATATTTTCCGAAAAACTAATACGACAATCAACAAAAAGTTCTATACAATTTTATCGTTCTTATTTTTCCGTCCTTATTATTGTTCTTATCACTGTTGCGCCCGGAGGCTTCATTACCAGAATCTTTATTTCTGTTATTTCGTCTTCCTATCAAGGCTAAGTGTTGTATATTTCTTCAATCATCTTATTATTTCAGGATCAAATTAATTCACTTGTCTAGAAATCACGTATAAATTCAACTATACTGTTTCTCGGGTAAACGAATATTACCATTATCAACAAACTCTAATACATTTACAGAGCGCCTAAATTTCATAGCCACCTTCCTTGAAGGGTACCATGAGAGATAGGCCTCCAACGAAGCTAACTATACAAGAAGTTTTTAAAGTAATCCCTGACAGCACCTTTTAGTTTCTAGCTTTCCAAATATGGTATACTCCTGCAATCCATGGAGCTGCTACAAGCTCTTTTTTTGAATTGATGCCAGTGCTTGTTCTTGATTCTGCTTAGTGTTTGTTGTACATCATCTTCCGGAATCTAAACTATTGCCTAATGTAGTATTTCTGCTCTAATTTTTCTTGCCCAACTGCGGCAAATAGATGTCGAGATGATTCCTTAGCCAATTGATAATACAAGCAACAGTGATCATTCTCAACTAAGGCTGTCCAAAGGGATGTGTCGAGACGGGACCAAATAATCGGGACTGGACGATAGTTAACCGGGACGGTTCGTGGGCCCTAAGTGAAAAAAATAATTATTTAAGCATTAAATTTGGCAACGGCTAATTTTTTATAGATATTAACGGTTATTTTTTTAAAGTTGACAATGACTAAGTTTTCAAAGTTTGCAACGCCTAATTTTGGACTTATTTAATAAACCTAAAACTTAATAATTATTAAGAAACTAAGAGATTTGAGAGAGAACGGTTGATTTTTGTGGGGAAAATGAAGGACGGGTATTTATAGTTAAAAATAGGGTTAAAGTATAATTTAATTAGCTTTGGGGTTAAATTAAAAGTCTTGGGGGGAGGGGGAGGGGTGTTTGGGGGGGAGGGAGGCAAAATGTCCGTTTATAGCCATTGGAAACGGCTAATTTTGCAAAGAATATCGTTGGCCAATGGCTCTTTTACAACAAAAAAAATACACGGGCTGGCGGCCCAGGCGGGACGGGACGGGACGTTAACGGGTCGGCCACCGGGACGAAATGGGCAACCCGTCCCATCCCATGTCCCGTTGACTATGGGCTCAGTCCCGTTCGAGAGTAAGTGGGCTGGGACGAGACGGGACCGGGACAAGACCGGGGTCGGGACGGGATCGGGATGAACCGGGCCGATCAATCCCGTTGGACAGTCATGTTCTCAACATGAATCTGTAGTCTCTTCAACCTTTCCTTTGTAAGTAATCTATCATGTACAACCAACCAGGTTATAAACTTATGTTTTGGTTGTGAAATGGAGCTCCAAACCAGCTCAATACTTCTTATTCTTTTTCGCGGCCTTATCAGATTGGTATAGCTACTTGAGATAGAGTATGCCTCTGAGACCCTAGGATGTAGTTTCCTTGTTGATACCAGTTTTACACTAGCACTTTTAACGAGCTAATCTTCTTCCAATACCAACTTTCATTGTTTCTTCAAAAATATCGGGTAAATTTCATTAATAGTCATTCAAGTTAAGTCTTGTGACACAAGTCATTTTATTTAACACAAAAATATCTTTCTTAAGCCTAACTAATAGAAACATAAAAGTGGGTCGGAGATATCCGGAAAAGTAACATGGCTATCTTAATTTGTTTAATAAAATAGGTCATTTAACCTATCCATTTTAATTAACATTCATATTTAAACTTAACGCATCTCTAAATGGATATTTTGGCAAATTTAATTTTGGAATTTATTATAATTAAGTTATTTTAAAATAATTTTTAATTCGCGACTCTTTTTTTTTAATCTAGACATATGAACAGCCATGCTTGCTAAGCTCACAAAGGCGGATATACCTGCAAAGTTTATATAGTCCAAATTTTAAGATAAACTCCAAATATTCAAAAGTAACTTTTCTAAAATGAACATTTGACTATTATACTCTCAAATCAGCATAAACAGCTCTCTATAAACCTTTTTCTGCTCTGGCAATCTAGTTTTTTTTTTTTTTTTTTTTTTTGCTAAGAATGCTTTTATTAAAAACATAACTAGTGTGTTACAAGGATTGGAACTGAACGGAAAGTTACAGTTCCGGTTACATCAATTGCTAAGAGCGGTAAAGCAAAATAAGGTGGACTTTCAAAAAGAATAACATCAGTAGGATGGAAATTCTTGATTGTCTTCCCATGTTTGGCTAATACATCTGCCACAGCATTGCCTTCCCTAAATGTGTGTTGGATCTGGATCACCTGGAGATCTTGGAGCATCGACCTGCATGCAAAAATGATATGTGAGTGTTTTAGTGGAATGCTGGATAGGATGTGTAGGAGTACCTGAGAGTCCGTTTTCACTTGTAAAGGTCTGAAATTGTGAGCATGTGCTAGTCGTAGCCCGTGGTATAAGGCCAGTAGTTCAGCTTGGAGAATATCAGTGTGTTTCAGTGGTTTGGTAAAATCATATACCCAAGCACCAAAGGCGTTACGGAAAACTCCGGCACCCCCCCCCCCCCACCCATGTGGTTATGCTCATCAAAAGCCCCATCAATATTTAATTTGTAGAAACCTTGGGGTGGAGGTTGCCATTTGATTGGGATTGTAGTATTTAGCGTTGGTTTTGGAGTTACTGCATTAGCTAGGTAATAATATTGGGCTGCCTGGTTGTATACATTAAGGGGATTAACGTTTGCATGCGTGTGATTGAAGATATTATTATTACGATTGATCCAAATATGCCAAAAGGTAATTGGAACTAGGATATAGGAGGGAATCGTATTAGGGTGTGAGGTGGTTGGAAGGCAGAGTTGTTTGATCCAATGTAGAGTGATTTGGGAGGGAAGAGGTATATTTAAATAGTGCCATATGTTGGATACAGTGTTGCAATGGAAGAATATATGAAGAATATCTTCATGTGCTTGTCGGCATACTGGACAGGTTGGATCATTAGC